TTTTGGATCACTTGTTGCTCCCCTGTCCCTGGGTTGGTCAGCACCACCTCCTAACCCCCACATTTCCCAAAGTTTTAAAGAGGAGATAGTTTAAGCTTATAAGGCTCATTTGGGGCCCTGACCATTAGGTTTGGCGTGCAGAATTGACAGAGATTTCCATATGTCTTTTTCTTTTGAATGAGGCATGGGATCCGTACCCTTTGAGCAGTAGCTCCTGATTGTTATCTTTTATCTTCCTATAATCAGTTCCTCACTTTGCAAAAAGAATGGGCTTCATGTTTGCCATTTATTAGTAAGTAGCATGACCAAGAATCTTAACCTTTTCCTGTCGAAGCACTGTGGCAGGGATTTAGGTCCAGACCAACCTAGAGTGTACAAGTTCAGTAGTTGAAATTGTCTCTTGACACTGCTGTTGTATTGGTTATACCCAAGTAGCATTTACACAACTTGATTGCTCTTGTATACGACTGTCTGGGTTCTCTCTTGGTATGCCTTTTCCTCCTGATTCAGTTCAGCATTTCCTGAGCATCTGTGCTGATCAAGGTTCTGTGAGTTTTGGAAAGCTGAGACTGTCATTGAGGGAAAGCAGTCTGGTGGGACAGCTAGACGCACGCACAGCTGATGCGGACACAGGACAGCATGTGGGCTGTAAGTGCCGTGATTTAAGTCAGCTGGGCACGTGAAATGAACACTGGGGGCTAGGGGTGGGGAACCGGAGAGACAGGAGTGAGATTTAAAGGATGGTAATAACACAAAAAAACCCACTGTGGTCAAATTGATTTTGACTCATGGCAACCCTTTGTGGGGTTTCTGAGGCTGTAGGTTTTAATGGGAGCTGACAGCCTCATCTTTCTTCCATGGAGTGGCTAGTGGGTTTAAACCACTGACCTTGTGGTTAGCAATCCACAGGGGCTCCTAAAGTGCTAAATAAATTCCCCAAGATGACTTGGTACAGGGTATGACTGGCACATAGCCAGTTGGTTCACGGTAATGAGGACTTTAACCTGAGCAGTGACAGAGGGAGGAGACAGTAGGAGACAAAGCAAGAAGAGGGAAGAATTCAAGGTGACTTTTGAAATTCCCCTCTGACCATCTCTGGAAAGATGAATTCATTGACTTGAGATGACAGCCAGAGGAGGATCAGGCTTGGGATATGGTTGATCATTTCTGTTTTGGATGTATTGTGTTTGAAGTGCTTGAATGATAATCATTCATTAAACATTTCTGAGCATCTGTTATATGCCCTGTACTCTGCCTGGTGCAGAAATGCCTAAATACCGTATGTACTCATGAACAAGTTGAGTTTTTCAGCACATTTTGAATGTAGTTTTTGTGGTAAAATTAGGTGCCTTGGCTAATATTCGGGTCGGCTTATACTCGAGTATATACGGTAGATTGCCCCTGTTGTCAACCAAGCCCTACAATCACTAAGAATAGTCTGCTTGTGAAGTGCTACTGAAAGGTTAGCAGAAAATGCGAGTTAGAGCTAAAGGGACAGACTGGGGCCGCTTCTGCAGTGAAGAAGACAAAGTCAGGAAGCTAGAGAGAGTGGATCCCCAGCTATGGGCTGGTTCATGGAAGTGCTCCCAGGGCCCAGTCTCGTGGTGCTCCATTCTGTG